ATGGTGACCTATCCCACCCAGGCTGGTGACAGTGATGCAGTCCGATTCCCTGGTGCCACCTGTTTATAGCTATACCCAAATCCCTCCCATCCTGCCCCACCCCCCGCCACCCCCACCAACCTCGGCAGTCACTAAACTGTTCTCCAATTCTGTAATTATGTCATTTCAAGAATGTTCTACAAATGCAGTTAGTCATACAGTAGGTAACCTTTGGGCTTGACTTTTTGCACTCAGCATAATTCTCAGGCGATCCATCCAGATTGTTGAGTGTATGAACAGCTCTGTCCTTTTTTGTTGCTGAGTAATGTTCCATTGGGATGGACCACAGTTTGTTTGCTTGTTCACCTATTGAAGGACAATTGGGTTGTTTCCAGTTTGAGGCTATTACAAAGAAAGCTGCCCTGAACATCATGTACAAATTTTTGTGTGAATATAAATTTTCAGTTCTCAGCCACAGAGTACATTTCCTAAGTCATATGGTGGGTGCATACTTAGTTTTTTTAAGAAGCTGCCAAACCATTTTCCAAGAGAAGCTGTACCCTTATCCATTCCCACCAGCAATTGTGTGAGTAATCCATTTTCTCCACATCTTTACCAGCATTTGGGTTTGTCATCAATTTTTTATTTTAGCCTTTTTGGTAAGTGTGTAGTGATATTTCACTGTGGTTTTAATTTGCATTTCCTCATGGCTGATGATGCACAGCATCTTTTCATGTGCTCCACCTGTACATGCTCTTCAGTAAAATGTCTGCTTTCTTTCTTTTTGTTTTGCTTTTTACTGTTTGGACAGTTTTTTTCATAGTCTATGCTCCAGTCTTTGTCAGATCTGCAGTTTGCAAACATTTTCTCCCAGAGTATAGCTTGTCTTTTCATCTTCCTCACAAGATCTTTCTCAGAGCAAACATTTTACTTGGATGAAGTTCAGTTTATCAGTTTTTCCTTTTATGGATTCTGTTGTGGTGTCAAGTCTAAAAACTCTCTGCCTTGCCCAAGAACCCAAAGATTGTTTATTTTTTTCTAAAGCTTTATTATTTTATATTTTACATCCACAGTCCATTTTGCATTAATTCTTATATAAACTATGAGGGTTAGGTTGAGGCTCATTTTTCTGCCTGTGAATGTTCAGTTATTTCAGCACCACTTGTTTGAAAGACTACCCTTCCTCCTCTGAACTGCTTGTGTTCAGAAATCCATTGGGCATACTTGCATGGATATAATTCTGGCTTCTCTACTCTGGTCCATTGATCTCTGCATCTCTGCCTCCTCTGACACCACACAGTTTTGATTACTGTAGCTATATAATAGGTTCTACAATCAGATAGACGGATTTGTTCCATCTTATTCTCCTTTTCAAGCTATTCAATTTGATTTTCCATATAAGCATTAGAATAATCTTGTTTATTTTTACAAAAAATGTTCTGGGGTTTTGGTAGGACTTGTGTTAAACCTGTATATTAATTTGGGGAGATTCAACATCTTTACTATGTTGAGTCTTCCAAACTATGAAGATGGTAGGTCTCATTGTTTATTTATTTCTTCTTTTATTTCTTTCATTGGTGTTTTGAAGCTTTCAGCATACAACTGCTGCATATATTGTGTTATTTTTGTTTGTTTAGTGTTCGTAAATGGTATTGTGATTTTAGTTTCAGTGTCTCTATGATATTTGCTAGTATATATAAATATAGTCAATTCTATGTATGTATCTTGTATCCTGTGACCTTGCTGAACCCACTTATTAGTTCTAGGAGGGGTTTTTGTAGTTTTCTTGGGATTTCCCATGTAGATAATCATGTCCTCAGAAAACAAGGACAGTTTTATTTCTTCCTTTCTGATCTGCATGTCCTTTATTTCTTTCTCTTGCCGTGTTAGATGGAACAGAACTCCAGCACTACATTCAGTAAGAACAGTGAGAACAGACATCCTTAGGCAAGAAGCATTCAGCCTTTCTTCTAATTGTAGATGTTCTTTATCAAGTCAAAGAAGTTCTCATCTCCTCCTATTTTTCTGAGAGTTTTATCATGAACAGGTATTAAAAGTTTAGAGATGCTTTTTATGAAGTCAGTGATATGATATGTGATTTTTTTTCTTCTTTAGCTGTTAACATGGTAGATTACATTCACTGATTTTCAAATATTGAACCAGACTTGCATTTCCTGGAATAAAACCCACCTGATCTTGATGTATAATTATTTTTATATTTTGCTGAATTCTAACTGCTAACATGTTAAGGATTTCTGCATCTGCTTGTGAGGAATATTCGTCTGCAGTTTTCCTTTTTTGTTGTCTTTGTCTGGATTTGGTGTCAGGTTAATGTTAGCTTCATAAAATGCATCAGGAAGTGTTTCCTCCTCTTCTGTTTTCTGGAAGAAATTGTTTAGAATTGTATTAATTATTCTTTTAGTTTTTGGTAGAATTCTCCAGTGAAACCATCTGTACCTCTAAATTTCTCTTAAGGGAGTTTTAAAATTAGAAATTCATTTCCCTCAATAGTTATAGGCTGTTTATATTTCCTGGTTCCTAGTGGATGAGTGTGGTAGATCATGCTTTTCCAGGAATCAGTCCATTTTCATCTAATGTGTGCAGAGTCGTATGTAGTGTTCCCTCACTATCCTTTTGATGTCTGCAGGGTCTATAGTGATGTGCCCCTTCCTTCCTAATTAATATTGGTAATCTACGTCATCTGTCTGTGCTTTTTGTCAGCCTGCTAGAGATTTGTCAATTAACTTTGTTAAATAATCAGCTCTTTGTTTCACTGATTTTCTGCATTGCTTTTTTTTTTCTATTTCATTGGTTTCCACTCTATTATTTCCCTCCTTCCTTCTGCTACTGTTGTGGTATGTTTTGCTCTTCTTTCTCTAGGTTCTTCAACTATTGAGTTGAGATTTCTCTTCTCTTCTAATGTAAACTTTTAGTGCTATAAATGTCCCCCTGCCCACTGCTTTCATCGTGTCCCACAGCCAAAGTTTGATATGTTGCATTTTCACTTTCATTCAGTTCAATGTCTATTTTTATTTTTTCTTGAGACTTCCTCTTTGACCCATGAGTTATTTAGAGTGCATCTCTTAGTTTCCAAGTGTTTGGATTTCCTGCTATCTTTCTCTTACCAATTTCTAGTTTGATTCTCTAATGGCCAGAGACCATATTCTACATGGTTTCCATACAAATTTGTGGAGGTTTTCTCTGAGGTCCCGCATGGGGTCTGTCTCAATGCACACTGTGTAGGTGCCTGAGAAGAGTGCATGCTCTGCTCTTGTTCGGTGGAATGGTCTGTGTTGATTGACAGGCTTCTAAATTTATCCCAAGATTTTGAGGTCATTAACTCCTGAAGACTATGTGATGCATTACATTTGCCTCAGATTTCAGAATAAATGACCTGAAATCCTGCTGAGCTCCCCTAGGAGGCCTGTGAAACCCCGCTGACGGTCCTTGTCGCTGGAGTCTCCAGCTCTCCAGCTCTCTCCCCTGGCAGGTGCGAGCCCCTGAAGGATGGCCAGCATCAGCCAGCAGCTCAGCGTCGGGCCCTGTGACAGTTCCCTGGCCGACGTTGGTACTCATATCATTTCAAACCATATAATAAAACACCGTTTTTCTTCTCATCAAGTCACTGAATGCTAAAGCCAGAGGGAACCAGGGGTCATCTGCTCTATCCTTTCACTTGGCAGGGGAAGGGATGAGATCTCAAGGTTAATTTAGACTGATAATTTTTTTAATATTTTTAATGAAATTAACTGTGTTCATTATAGAAATGCATTAGGTATAAAAAAAAGAAATGCATTAGACACAGAGAAACAAAAATAAGAAAAAAGGTTTATACATAATCTTATAACCCAACAATAACGGTTATTATTATTACAGAATGCATCATCCCAACGGTTCAAAAATGGGCTCACACTGTATTACTGCTTTACAGTCTGTCTTTTCTTTAGCTTTAACAATAGACATGAACATTTTCCAAAATATTATTTCTAATGGCAGACTGTGTTTCCACAGTACAGATACATACATATCACATACTTAATGTCCGTTTGATGGACACAGAGGCCGTTATAGAGTTTTCACTGTGTTAAATAACATTGTGAGGAACATCTTTTATGTCCATATATGATTATTTCCTGGAAATGGAGACCCTAGATCAGAGCATGTGAACATTTTTAGCTTCTGAGCACCATGGCCAGGCTGGATTATTAATATTTTGGGGTTTGTTTAGGCAGGTGTGGTTTGGATTTTATCTGTTTGGATTTCAGGGGAGGGTTAGGCAGCATCGACACAGAAGGTGACGTGAAGTCAGGAGTGAGCTTGGTGTGCGTTCTCAGTGATTCGGGGCATGAACAAACGGCCACCAGAGCCAAGAAGACTTGTGTCCCTTCCCAAGAGCATAGACGTGCTGGAAAGAGCTGTTCTGGGAGCGTCTACCCCTCCCTGTGAGGTGTCTGGCATTGTGCCCAATCAGGCAACAGGGACACCGGCAGGTTATAGTTAGCCTGGGACCTGAATCCTGTAAAACCAGCTACCCAGCCTGGTTTTACGTGCCAAGCAGCAAAGGGACAGACTCGCTCACCCTGGCCTGTGTCCTGGCCCCAGGAACCGCCGTGAGAACATTGTGTCTCACCTGTGAAATACTCCTTGAACCCGCTTTGTCATAGTAATTACGCCATAAAATGGACTGGGGCACAAAACAAAGACATCCCACATACAGAGACCCAGTCCTGCCTGCATTTCACAACCGGTGCCAATCACGGGAGGAGCACAGCCCTGGCCACTCTACTGAGAGGCCACTGAGGCATAGGTCGGTGGCCGGGGCAGTCCAGGAGGGAAAGAGCATTGGGAGGAGGAAAGGAGAACTCCAGACCCTGGGAGGCCTTGGGGTGCAGGCAGTGGGCCAGAGCACCCCTCCAGGCAGCCAGGCAGCTCCAGACCACCACGCTGGTGCCACAGAATCAGGCCCAGGATGATGCGCAGGCCTGTCCCTTTTTCATCTCTCTCTTTTATTCGGTCTGTAGAGAAAGAAGAATTAATCCAGAGCATGCTGACTCAGGTGGCAGAGCAATTCTCAAGGTACAGAATCTTCTAGATACATGTATGCCTTTTTTTATTTTTAATGCCAACGGTGGGCCCTTTGCTCCAAGGCTGTTTTGGCTGTCAGGCCCTGACACATCACTGGCCAGAGAAGCTGACTTCCAAACGGAATCCTTGTGTGACTTCTGTGACTCAGCCAGCTGCAATGGGGTCCAGGAAGCGCCTGCCTTTTACCACAGACCCATGTCAGCAGGAGCCCAGAGAACAAGAGCTCATATTGCTGAGAATTTCCTCAACTGGCTCTCCTGGGGCACAGAGTTCAACTTGCAAGAACTGACACCATTTTTAAAATAAGCTTCAACATAAGCTTTCTCACAGAGACCCTGAGTAGATGGGGGCTTCCTTTCCACAGACTTATCCTGCCAGTTCCGAAGCGAATACTTTCCATTCCTGTTATTTCCCTGTGGCATCTTGCTGCTCCAGGTTATCAAAATGGGGAAAGGCATGTGGGGGGCACTTTCTCAAAGTCCCCGCTTGTTGAGTTGAATGAGCTGGAGTCTGGAGAGGGCACACCGGGCCCCAGACAGTGGTCTGTGCCCACAGGGCAGGCTGTGGGGGCTGGGCTGTCCCAGCTGTGAGCGGAAGACCCCCAACCCTCCCCAGAGAGTGGGAGAGGAGTGCATGCTTCCTGCCCCTGCCTCACTGTGTCCCCAGCTGGGCGCACGCCTCTGGAGAGAGAATCGGAGGCCATGTCCCTGTCCTCCGCCCCCACCCGAACACCACGTGGGCCCAAAACCCTCCCAGCATCTTGGTGCCCACCCCTCACCAGCCTGGGCGCCTGGCCCAGCAGACACCCAACAGATGGGTGCCGAACCCATTTTAACTTCGAGACTTTCCTGAGTTAACGCTTTGCCTTTTTTTATTCCTAGAGCATTTAAGATCAACGAACTGAAAGCCGAGGTCGCCAACCACTTGGCCGTGCTAGAGAAACGCGTCGAATGTGAGTGGCATTTTGTTTCCTTTCCGCTTGTGTCACTTAACCTCCGTTTAAATCGGCCACAGAAACCACGGTGAGCAGTAAGGGAGTCTGAAAGCAGGCGCCTCTTCTCTCTGTGAAATGCTCGCCAGTGGCCTTTGACGTTCACAAAGGCTGAAACAGAGACTACCCTAAGCATTTTATTTCTGTGACATGGGCCAGCTACAGGCACAGGGTGCTTGCCCCACATCGCACAGTGAAGCACAGAGTGAGGCTGAGGAGCGCAGAATGAAACCCCAGACCCCGGGCTCCGCCCGCTCGGGATGGGAATCCTGCCGAGCATCCTGTGTGCGTCTCTATTTCTATAAGTGAGAACACGCCAACCTCTCTACGACTGAGAGTTTTTTGGAATATGTCTACAAATTCATTACCTCTTGGTTCCCAATTCCCACAAAGGAAAACAGGAAAACTGCTAGGAAGCAAAGGAGAGTCGAGCAAAGGGCTTGATTCAATGACCAAGCAGCTGAATTCCGGGAGGAAAACCTCTTCAAGTCCCTCATCCTTTATGTCCTCATCCACAAAACCAGGAGCAAGGCTCGATTCCTGTGTGCCTTGTGGTCCTGTCACCTGCGGAAGGCTCCTCGTCCGTGCCAAGGCAAGGGTTAACGACTAATGGGCACCGTTTTTATATGATGAGTAAACAAAAGCCCTGCAGGAGGCCACTGGGGCATCGCCACTCTCTGGCTCATTCAATCCCTCAGGATTCATTGAGTGGCACTTTTCACATCTTATATAAATTGCTTGGATTTTTTTCAAGGAAAAAAATGCAGGATCCTGCAAGAACCATTTCACCTAAATATCCAGAAACATGATTTACACAGTCCTACTTTTCAAACTCTGTTGACATTTCTAAAATCCATATGGTCATTGATCTTCAAAACAGTTTTATTTTCTCCATTGCTGACGAAGAAGATGCAGAGAGGGTAAGTGGTCCACTCAAGTTCACTCAGCAAAGTGGTAAAGGGAATAAAACTAGGACCTGGTGGGATCCTGGTGGGCTCTTCAGCTGTCCCACCTGCCCCACACCTGCTCAGCTGGGGGAGCTGGGCTCCCACGAGGAGCCCAGAGAAGGCAGGTCGCCGAGCAGGTGTGGCAGCCTGGTTGAGGCTGCACTGAGCAGAAAAGGGGCTTTTTCCTAAAGGCTTTGGGGGACCCCCTGGGTCACCAGGAGCTCAATGGCTAGGCAGCAGGAGTGATGCCCCAGACCCCAGGCAGAGCTGACACCCATCTGCTGCATCTGAGCCTCAGGTGGGGGTACCACCCAGCACCAGCGCTCTGCTTGGGTTCCCCTCTGGTCCCCTCAGCCCCTGCTGCAGACGTCAGCTGCTTCTCCATATACTGGCCACAGATCCAAAGTCTGGACGGAGCTGGACCACATGCCTGCACTCTGGACACCCTGGCTGCTAGGGAGGCCGGAGAAACAGACCGCGCCAGCTTCCTGTCACTGTTGTCACAAAGGACCACAGACTGGGGGCTTAAAACAACAGTGGTGTGTCCTTTACAGTCTGGAGGTCAGAGGTCTGAGGTCAAGTTGTTGGCAAGGTCAGTTCCTCCGAGACTCCCAGGGAGAGTCTGTCCCAGGCTTCTGCCAGCGTCTGGTGGCTGCCGGCTGTCCTCGGCTCATGGCCGCGTCCCTCCAAGCTGCCCCCATCATCACACAGCTCCTGCCCTGCGTCTCCACGTCTCAAGTCTCTGCTGCCTGTGTCCTAAAGGACAACCATCTTTGAGAGCCTTAATTGATTATATCTGGCAAGAACCTTTTTCTAACTAAGGTCACATTCAGGAGTCCTGGAGTCAGGATGTGAGCATATTTTGGGGGACACAAGTCCACCCACTCTAGAGAGCCTTTGGTATGTCCCTCTTCCACAGCAGGAGGCAAACCCGGCTTCCCACCACACCCACAGAGTAGGGGGCCCTCCACATGCAGGAGGGGGTTCAGCCAAAGAACAGGAAAGCGACTGCTGCCAAGTCAGCAGCATTTATGGAAGCCAAGCAGCCCAGAGGCCCTGGGGTGCAGATGCCCAGCGGGGTGCCTCCTGCCCTGTGCTGCCCATTCCTGCTCAGTCGACCCCACTCCAAAGCCAGCTCCGGGCCCCATGCCAGCCAGCGGGGAAGGGGAAGGGGCCATGACCGAGTTTTCCAGAAGCCCGGAGTGCTGTGCTGACCCTGACTTTTGAGGTATCCTTATCTGGCCCTGGAGACAATCAGGCCAAGACATGTTTTTATTTTGCCTTCAAGCATTATGTGAGTCAAGAACCATTAAGGATGAAGCCCACAGGACCTCCTCCCACACCTGTCCTTGCCTGGAATTCTCCAGAACTGGGCGGCTGCTCCAGTGTGGGAGGCAGCCGCCCCCTGGGCTGGTGTGCATGGCAGAGACCCAGCAGGCACGCTGGTTCCTGGCAGGTGCCGTTGGCCCCACCCACCCACCCACCGCAGGCGCACAGCATGGTTGGAACCGCTACTGTTGTTAGGTTGCTCTTATTTCTAGCACCTGAGACATAGGCACCCAGGCCTGGGATCAAGGGCGTATGGCACGGGGAAGCAGCAGCCTGGGAGCTGCGGGCCGAGAGCGGCCTGGCAGTGGTCAGGCCAGAACCGTGGGCAGCAGTTTCCCCCCACAGCCTTGCCTTGGTGCCTCTCCCCACGCCAGCCCCCAGCTTTGCCACCTCCTCCCGGCTGCCTGCCTTCCCCCAGGAACATGGCCTACAGGGTCACACACCCCAGGAGGTGGCCACAATCCCAACAGGCTCCTGTCCTCCTTGAACTGCTCCTGGTTTGGGTGCATCCTGTCCCGGCAGTTCTGGCTGGGCACTTCCCAGCCTCCAGCAGCCTCCATCCAGGCATGGAGGACTTGGGGTCGGCCTCCCCCATGCTGAGCCCAAGGGGCCTGAGTTCCAAAGAGCCACCCAGAGACCACAACACCGTAACCCAAAGACAGGGGTGCTGGGACGCAGCAGGTACCTTGGGAGGGGTTGAGGGGTCCTTTTCGAGATGAGGGGTCCTGCAGCCAGACCGCTCACACAGGTCACTTGGGGGATATCATCCCAGCAGCTTGGGTCAGTCCTGACCCTGCACAGCTGCCAGAAGCGAACTGGCCTAGACCACTGGCCTGGGCAGGCCGCCAGAACCACGACTGCCAGGCTGCTCTGCTGGCCGGGCCGGGTGTACACACTCACATCACATCCACATGTCCGTTCACACATAGACACACAGACAAGGGAGCACACGTTCACACACACACACACACACATATGCACACATATAGGCACACACAGACACAGACACATGCCTACCCCATGCTCAGGTGTGCACACATACTCTATCTGGTCGGTATGGGCCGCAGGTGGGCAGCCAGGAGGGGGTGGGGCCAGCGTGAGGCCAGCTGCCTGGCCCTGGTTTCCACCTGACCGCCACCAGGCGCAATGGCTAGGCAGCAGGAGTGATGCCCCAGACCCCAGGCAGAGCTGACACCCATCTGCTGCATCTGAGCCTCAGGTGGGGGTACCACCCAGCACCAGCGCTCTGCTTGGGTTCCCCTCTGGTCCCCTCAGCCCCTGCTGCAGACGTCAGCTGCTTCTCCATATACTGGCCACAGATCCAAAGTCTGGACGGAGCTGGACCACATGCCTGCACTCTGGACACCCTGGCTGCTAGGGAGGCCGGAGAAACAGACCGCGCCAGCTTCCTGTCACTGTTGTCACAAAGGACCACAGACTGGGGGCTTAAAACAACAGTGGTGTGTCCTTTACAGTCTGGAGGTCAGAGGTCTGAGGTCAAGTTGTTGGCAAGGTCAGTTCCTCCGAGACTCCCAGGGAGAGTCTGTCCCAGGCTTCTGCCAGCGTCTGGTGGCTGCCGGCTGTCCTCGGCTCATGGCCGCGTCCCTCCAAGCTGCCCCCATCATCACACAGCTCCTGCCCTGCGTCTCCACGTCTCAAGTCTCTGCTGCCTGTGTCCTAAAGGACAACCATCTTTGAGAGCCTTAATTGATTATATCTGGCAAGAACCTTTTTCTAACTAAGGTCACATTCAGGAGTCCTGGAGTCAGGATGTGAGCATATTTTGGGGGACACAAGTCCACCCACTCTAGAGAGCCTTTGGTATGTCCCTCTTCCACAGCAGGAGGCAAACCCGGCTTCCCACCACACCCACAGAGTAGGGGGCCCTCCACATGCAGGAGGGGGTTCAGCCAAAGAACAGGAAAGCGACTGCTGCCAAGTCAGCAGCATTTATGGAAGCCAAGCAGCCCAGAGGCCCTGGGGTGCAGATGCCCAGCGGGGTGCCTCCTGCCCTGTGCTGCCCATTCCTGCTCAGTCGACCCCACTCCAAAGCCAGCTCCGGGCCCCATGCCAGCCAGCGGGGAAGGGGAAGGGGCCATGACCGAGTTTTCCAGAAGCCCGGAGTGCTGTGCTGACCCTGACTTTTGAGGTATCCTTATCTGGCCCTGGAGACAATCAGGCCAAGACATGTTTTTATTTTGCCTTCAAGCATTATGTGAGTCAAGAACCATTAAGGATGAAGCCCACAGGACCTCCTCCCACACCTGTCCTTGCCTGGAATTCTCCAGAACTGGGCGGCTGCTCCAGTGTGGGAGGCAGCCGCCCCCTGGGCTGGTGTGCATGGCAGAGACCCAGCAGGCACGCTGGTTCCTGGCAGGTGCCGTTGGCCCCACCCACCCACCCACCGCAGGCGCACAGCATGGTTGGAACCGCTACTGTTGTTAGGTTGCTCTTATTTCTAGCACCTGAGACATAGGCACCCAGGCCTGGGATCAAGGGCGTATGGCACGGGGAAGCAGCAGCCTGGGAGCTGCGGGCCGAGAGCGGCCTGGCAGTGGTCAGGCCAGAACCGTGGGCAGCAGTTTCCCCCCACAGCCTTGCCTTGGTGCCTCTCCCCACGCCAGCCCCCAGCTTTGCCACCTCCTCCCGGCTGCCTGCCTTCCCCCAGGAACATGGCCTACAGGGTCACACACCCCAGGAGGTGGCCACAATCCCAACAGGCTCCTGTCCTCCTTGAACTGCTCCTGGTTTGGGTGCATCCTGTCCCGGCAGTTCTGGCTGGGCACTTCCCAGCCTCCAGCAGCCTCCATCCAGGCATGGAGGACTTGGGGTCGGCCTCCCCCATGCTGAGCCCAAGGGGCCTGAGTTCCAAAGAGCCACCCAGAGACCACAACACCGTAACCCAAAGACAGGGGTGCTGGGACGCAGCAGGTACCTTGGGAGGGGTTGAGGGGTCCTTTTCGAGATGAGGGGTCCTGCAGCCAGACCGCTCACACAGGTCACTTGGGGGATATCATCCCAGCAGCTTGGGTCAGTCCTGACCCTGCACAGCTGCCAGAAGCGAACTGGCCTAGACCACTGGCCTGGGCAGGCCGCCAGAACCACGACTGCCAGGCTGCTCTGCTGGCCGGGCCGGGTGTACACACTCACATCACATCCACATGTCCGTTCACACATAGACACACAGACAAGGGAGCACACGTTCACACACACACACACACACATATGCACACATATAGGCACACACAGACACAGACACATGCCTACCCCATGCTCAGGTGTGCACACATACTCTATCTGGTCGGTATGGGCCGCAGGTGGGCAGCCAGGAGGGGGTGGGGCCAGCGTGAGGCCAGCTGCCTGGCCCTGGTTTCCACCTGACCGCCACCAGGCGCTCCCTCCCCACTCTGCACTCCCTTGGTCCCAGTGCTTCCTTCTCAAGTTCAAGGAGACCTCCAGCTAGAACCGGCCCTCTGTGAGCCACACCACACTGTTTTGACTTGTTCTAAATGGAATTTCCTGCTTTTTAACTTTGTTCAAACATGTAATTCTTCTGAATCCAATGTAAATTTCTCCATTCCTCTTCAGTCACTTTAACAGTTTTTCTTCCTTTTTTATGACATATTTTCCTTCTTCAAGAAGTCTAGGGTCTCACTCAGGTTAAAGGTTACTTCACAAACATAGAACATGCAGATCCTCACCTCGCTGCTGGGTGTAGGCGGGACATCACGGTGGCTTCAGTCACTCCCTTTCTTGTTTGCTGGGCACTGGCCACTGTGGCAGGGAGCCCATGGTCAGGCACGGGCCGCCCCGGGCCTGAACCAGAACCTAAACACAGGGAGAGCTGGCCTGTGGGCAAATGCCCAGCCACATAAACAATGCAGAAGAGGAAGCTGAAACCAACCTTTTTTTTCTCTTTGTCCCTCGGGAAATGTGCTTTATGCGAATTCTTTACCAAAACCCTCAGAGGAAGTATTGGACAAGCTGTTCACTCATGCCATTGTACAACTTGACGAGCTCTGCGGCACCAAAGAGGGGGAGGCCATTGAGGAGGCGGGAGCACAGAGCAGAGTTGCCTGCATAGCCTGCTCTCCTACCCCTGCCCCTGAGGCCCCTTCCCTGAAGCCAGCATCCCTCGTAGAAGGTCATTCTTAAAGGTTCCTCTTCAGGGTGGCCTGTGACTGGCAGACGCCCACAGGACCACTTCTAAAGTCTGAGAAAGGACAGCCCGGTTTCCAGGTGATGCTAGTGGTTGTCAGCCTGGCAGGTGTGCCTGGTGGGGGTAAGAAACCGCCCTTCATGGGCAGGACACCCAGGGCTCTGGTGCTGGGTGGGGCCAGGGAGCCCCTGCTTTAATTAGAGGCGGTCGGTGCCCACCTGTGTTTCGGGTTTGAGGGTGGACAGGTAGGACGGCGATGTAAGAAACTGACAGCCAGCCCGACTCTGAGACCCCCTGGTGTCCGTGAGGGACTTGCAGGGGTGAGGCCCTGGGTTCTGGGACCGGCCTTCTCCCTGGGAAGCGGGCAGGGCGAGGCTGCAGCTGCAAGCTTTCAGCAAGCAGCAGGGGCCCAGGAAGGACTGGGGAGTGGCCTGTGGGTATCTGAGTCTGCCATGAGCCATCACCGTCCCTGGGCTTCCTCCTCCACTGTCCAGTTCCTCAATCCCCATGACTTGTTGTTTTTCTCATCTATTGATCACTGCACAGCTTCTGCCGTCTTGCTGCTTACTATCAATTTCCCTGGCAACCAGGCTCTTCATGAATGTAATTGCCATAGATTCTCAATCTCTGGGATTCAAATTAGTGATACTGTACTTCATCTCTCAAAAGGCTTAATTTTAACATCAACCCCCAATAAATGGCCAGGGAATCTGATCCGCATGGACTCCACTATCTATACAAGCGGGCAGCATGCTGGCAGCCCAGCTGGGACCAGAACCTTCCGAGGCTGACTTTCTAAACATTCCCGGGATGCTGTGCACCCACCATAAACCAAGAGCCTGGAGGCGGCGACTGCGCAGAGAGTGTCCTTGACTTACTGGTAGTGGAAAAAGCCAATGAGAAAATAGAACAAATAGCACATCCCAATTTTGTCTTTTTAAAATGAAGAAAAGATATTTAGAACACATGGGGGTGGGAGAGAAATGCCTAGAAGGATACATACCAGTATATGTAATATTAAATGAGTTGTTTCCTGGGCCAATGGGATCATAGATTCATTTAAAAACTATTCTTTGAGGTTCTCTGTATCTCCTCCACTTTCAACAATGATCACAGATTATTTTGTATTCAGAAAGATGATGTTGAAAACATAACAATGTAACCACGGACCTTGAATGGCAGGGCATAGCTACCCTGCCTGGGCCATACTGCACACTCCATCTCCTCCCCTTTCTGGAGCCAAGTCGATGCCACGTGCCAGGGCTCTTCTCCAGATTGGTCTCCTTTCTGGAATGGTCTGCCCTTCACGTGTCAACAAGACTGAGCACCTTCTTGCCTCAGATGTTGAATCCCCCATCTGTTGACATCAGTGTCCTGGTGGCAGACCCACAGGCACAGCCCCGCTGTGGCCCTGACTCCTGCAGGGTGAGCGTCCTGCAGCGTGGCACCTGACCCACATGCAGACCTCACAGGTGTGAGCTGCTGTGCTTCTCTCAGCAGAGGACCCGTGGCTTTCATCTACTTTCGAACAGGGTCTGTGGGTGCAAAAAAGCGCTAAGGACAGCAGCTCCTGAAGGCGGGTGTGGGTGTTCAGTGAGGCGCAGGACTCCACACTTCCCCCCTCACTGCCCTCTGCCTGCTGTGTCCTGGTGGACAAGGTGGGAGAGGGCTCTAGAGCTCCCCACCATGTCCCAAGTGTGACACCCTGACCCCGGGAATGTTTAGAAAGTCAGCCACGGAAGGTTCTGGTCCCAGCTGGGCTGCCAGCACGCTGCCCTCAAGGCGCTTCTCCCAACATGTGTTCTGTGGCCTCCGTGTCCCTGGGGGGTGGGAGGCACTGTTAGAAACCAGCAGAAATCACTGGGATGCTCTAATTTTCCTTTAAAAATCACTTGCATTTTATTTTTAGCCATATTCAAACCATGCTGGAGGAAAGAGGAAAGAAAGTAGCATCGTGGGTATCATCTTTTCGCATAAACACTGAGGTGTGATTACAAAGTAGCAAAGCTCATCTTTTGTTTCTTATGAATGGGCTCCCATCTGAAGGCCTTTCCCATGCTCTCGCTCCAGGGCGGCGTTCCTGGGCTGCATGTGCGGCTACCAGAGGGAGAGTGTTGAAGCTGAGTGCTGGCCTGATGGCCTGAGCCCCCAGTTCGCTCTGAGGATGAGCAGCGTCCTGCCTGTTAAGGCGCCGCCGCAGCAGGACTGCGGAACGTCGTCAGGCCCGGGTTCTGCTAGTCCCTCACCCAGCCTGTTTGCTTCTCCTCCGTTGTAAGCCTGCGCACTTCCTCCTGGCTACTGCTCCATGAGGGGCCTGAAGATGCAAAGCTTTCATCCTGCGGCCCGTGCGGACCTCAGGCTGTCTGCATTTCAGTGCGCCAGGGCCACAGTTCCCCCATTTCTATTCTTTTTGAGAATAGACACTTCTTTGTCCCTCATCCTCAGCTGGTGCTCAGAAGTATGGAGAGAAGTGGGTGCAAGGCGAGTGGGGATTGAGGAGGGGGTGGGGGCCGGGTTCTGCCTGAGAAACCACACATCTGAACACAGTGGTGCCCCCGGGGCCTGGGAGCAGGCCTGCGACGACGCTGCTCCATCATGGCTGAGCCAAGTGTGGTGTGAGCCCAATATCAGCACTGGGGCGGGGGCGGGAACCACCGCCCCGAGCCAGCTGCCCTCCCAGGGACAGAGAGCCTGGGCCCAGAGCTGTGGGCACCTACCAGCCTGGCAGGCTCCCCTCGGTGTATCCATGGTAACCCTCTCATTTCTCTTTGTCGCCAGTGGAAGGCCTGAAAGTGGTGGAGATTGAGAAATGCAAGAGAGACATTAAAGAGATGAAGGAGGAGCTGGCAGCCAGGAACAACAGGTGAGGTCTGGGCCGTGAGCCTGTGGGCGCAGGGGCACACGGGGAGGGGGCCTGGTTTCCCGAAAGCAGACCAGAGCCATCCCGTCCGGCTCTCGCCAGGGCGAATGCAGTTGGGGGCAGCCCGGCTCCACTGGGGATTTGCTTCTCAACTGCACAGCTTTCTTATTATCGTAAAGGGCGGCTTGGGGCTGGTGGGCTGGGAGAGTGACTTCCCCAGAGAGGGGGGTCCTCCCACAGCTCCTGGGGAGTGCCGACTTACCCGGCTGCAGACACACTGACGCTGATGCTGATTTTAAAGAAAAGGAACAGTAAAGAAAGGGAGGAAAAAGGCATTTGGCTTACAGGGGACACTCATCCTGGTGCCCCAGAGGCCCCACTTCCATGCTAGCATCCCCACAGTACAGAGCAACAGGTGGGGGCAGGTGCTATGCTGGACACCAACATCACCTGTCCTGCTGGGGAGCCTAACTGGTGAAAAAATGTCCCAGGCTTCATTAGACCCCTTCAGATGTGGGGTTTGCATAGTGGGACCCGCTTCCAGAACCGTGGTCACAGCAGACACGGGGGCGTGGGGGGAAGGTCGGGCTCTCTGCTCACAGGCCCGGCTCACCCCTGCTTCCCTTCATGTCCATAACAACCCATGCAGGGGACCAAGTGGTAATAGGGTGGCTTATCACTGCTGGACCTCAGGGGGATCTAATGGGGACCGTATACCCAAGCAAACGCACCCAGTAGTCCGAGGGACGGTTGCCTAACATTTTGAAGATAGTTCCCTGATTTTAAAAAATTGAGGGCAGCCTGCATAGTGCTGAGTGTGGCTGTGTGAAGGGGCTTCAAGGACACAGGAGGTGAGGGGACACGGCCAGTCACACATTAGCGTGTGTCTTACTGGGACTGTGCCGTGGGCATGTCACACTTAGGTGGCAGTTGATTTGGATTTGGGAATGTCTCATCCGATATGATTTGGGGGAAGTCAGGGTAAAGGCGTTTGTGACCACAGGAAACTGTGAGTGGAAATTCATCTTCTCCATCCTGGTAGTGGGAGGCTCTTAGGGGACAGGAGACAGCGTCCGCGTGCGACCTGGAGAGAGCCCTACTGTTGCATGGGCAGCCACACTCCTGGGCGTCCGGGGCTGGACCTGGCCCAGCAGCGGCAGGATGACTATGCCCTGGTCACGGCATCACCCTCGGGCTCAGGATCTGCATGGCTTGGCTCAGCCCTCTGGCCTCCCTGTGCCCTGGCTGCCACGTGCTGGGCCTCCATCTATGGCCAGTCGTCCTAAAGTCCAAGTGAGAAAAGCCAGTTACCTAGGCCCCTTGCCCATGCTTAGCCCAAGCCCCTCTCCACTGGCCTCAGACTGGCTGCCTGTGGCCAAGTGCCACATCCACTGAGAAGAGAGGGTGGTGGCCCATTCTAGTGCCCACAGGCCACGTACCTGAGGAGCCGCCTAGGGCAGCTGCCTGTGGCCCAACTCTGCCAGCCTCATCCAGCAGTGTCAGGGGAAGAGAATCAAAACCTGAGCTCGTCCTCAGCCTAAAGCTAAGGCTCCCTGAACGTGGCCTCTTGGCCCCAGCCCACCGCCAGACGGTGTGGTGCTCAGGCTGGAATGGGGCTGCCTTGGTCTGCCCGTCCCTGTGGGCACCGCCCCGCCCGTGAACATGCTGCACCCACAGAGCCCCTGTGGGGGGCGGTTTTAGAAGACAGCCTCTTGTCCCTTCTCCAGCTTAATCCTGCCAGCTGCCCGGAGCAGCCAGGGTGAGTCATGAGCCGCAGCCTTGCTGTCCCGCCCCTGCCATGTCCCGGTCACCCTCGGCCCCTCTTCCGTCCTCCCCTTCCATGTGTGGAAGCACGGCCGCAACAGGGAGGCTGTACCACTCCTGGCGTGGCTGCTGGCTCTACCTGCAAGACAGGTTGCAACGGAAAACGCTAAATTTGTCCAGGTTGTCTGAGTTTCCCAGGCTGCTGTAATGAGCATCACGGCCCAGGAGACTTCGAACAGCAGAAATATGTCCTCACAGTCTGAAGGCCATGGGTCTGGGCTCAAGGTGTCAGTAAGGCCATGCTCCTCTGCAGCCCAGGGGCATGAGCTGCCCAGGCCTCTCTCCTGGCTTCTGGGGGGTGCTAGCAAATCTCGGGGTCCCCGGCTTGCAGAGGCATCACTCTGGTCTCTGCCTCCTTCACATGACGATCTTGTGTGTATTTCTATGTCCAAATGTGCCCTTTTTAAAGGTCACTAGTCATATCAGATGAGGGCCCACCCTACTCCTGTATGGCCACATCTGGACTGTAACAACCCTCATTGTCAAAGCAGGTCACAGTCATAGGCACTGGCCTTAGGGCTTCACCATATAACTGGGGAGACACAATTCATCCCACAACACACTATGTGGGGGAGATGCACCTGATTTCAGAGCACATGGGAGGAAGCCGCCCCAGGAGCCAAGAGCAGGGGCCCCACTGTAGGCCCCAGACTAGTGGGTGGGGGCGGGGTACAGCAGGCACAGGCTCCTGAGGGTAATGAGGCACCCCTCATCACCCCCAGGAGGAGCACCGTTCATGCTCACAGCACCACAGTTTAAAGAGAAGGTTCCTGGGCTCTCGCTGCAGCCAGAGGCAGCACGCTCAACAGACAGTTACAGCTGCACCCTGCCTACGAGACGGCAGGGCAAGTCTGCACTCAAAACCGGAGTGCGCCAGAGCCTCAGGGAAATCCAGGTCTGTCCCACAGCTGCATTGCCTGCCTCGGACCCTGGGCCCTGGCCACAGCCCCCTGTGTGCCCACAAACCAGCCTTCTGAAGTCTTGGAGGGAACTGAACTCAGACAGAACAAGCCATCCTCACTGCCCCTTGTGTCTCATTGCCAGCAGGGGAGCACACTGGTTAATGCAGGCCTCCGCCTGCACCTGCAGGAGAAATCACCCCCCTCCCCCAAGCAGCCCTTTCCAACGATGTCAGCCCAGCCAGGTGGCGATGCTGCCTCTTTGAAGGGTAGAGAGGAGCACAGAGGCACCAGGCCGGGTTGAGCCCAGCCCTGTGCTGGCGGGAATGGCTAATGAGCCTGAAGCAACCAACCACCTTCACCCTCATACAGGCACCCCAGCGGGGCTTCCCGGAGTGGAGCTTGCAGGGGACAAATGACCACCAGCCTGAGCCCCAGGGGAGGGCAGGCTGGGAGCCCAGGAAGTGAAAGCAGAAATAAGCCCAAAGACAATGGAAAGAAGAGGCACCATGCCAGGTTCTCTTGTTGGCTGGAGGATGCTGGTTCCCATGGCAACGGGATGCGGAAGCAGCAGGCGGGGGTGCCTGGCTGAGGTGGGGAGGCCCTGGCAGGAGTCGCCAGATACCCAGCAGATGCTCTCAACGCTGGGATTTTCAAGGAAGCACCTGGAATCCAGCAGTTAGCCGTCTTGTTTGGTGAAAGCTTCCACCGCCCTGCTGGGAAATGCCCGCAACCTACTCAGACAGCACACGCACCGGTGTTTATTGGGAAGAAGTCAGAAGCAGAAAAACAGAGATGATGGATCTGTCTTCTCATGTGCATACACCAAGTTTGTCATCGCTCAGAAATATATTGGTGGGACTTCTCGTTTACAGGGTGACCGTGGCAGTCGCTTGGTTGGCACCTGTTACTGGCTCATTCGTGACTCTTACAAAGTTGCTTTAAATGCCCCTCCACACATGAGCTGCCAGGAGCAAGCCAGTGACTTTGGCATTGGGTTGGGTTGAACATGTCAAGAAAAAAAACCAAGGGCTCTTCAAAATGGAAAAATAGACTTCTTATTGTGAGTTCGCAAGTTGCACGGTCCTTGTGAAACCTCCAGACCCTATGGAGGTGGGGACGAGCCTCCAGTAATGACAGAGGGAGCGGTGCCCCGGAGGGAAGGCTGGGCTCTGTGCTTCCCAGATGTGTTCTATATATAGTAGCTGGTTTTGAAAAATAACCAAGGAGCACTGTGTCGTAATCGTTTTTCCCTTACAACACTATGAGCAATAAGCCGATCCAGTGTAGTCAGGATGCAGCTCGTGTGTTTTCCCAGGACACAGGGCAGCTCTCATTTTTCACCCACCCACTGGTCCTTTTCCCTCAGACCTTGGTGAGTTTTGCATCACCTTTCAGTACAGCCTGTAGACAATCATTTCTTTTCCCCTTTTAACATAAAGTTCTGTCACTCCACTCAACACTCATAATTACCTTAAGGGTCACAAGATAGTCCATCTTGTTGATGTACTGTAATGGTCTAAATTTCTTCCCATTTGGAGACATTTAGGTAGCTTCTCGCTTAGTTTTGTATTTTTGTAAAAACAGGTAAAGCAGTGATGAATACATCTGTGGAGAACAGTATGTGTGATTCTTTTCTTAAATTCCCCAGAGTAGATGAACAGGCTTAAAGGATATGAATTTTTCTATGGCTTGATGGGAAAGAAACATTTTCCTCTACTCTTCAAGGTTCTTCTCACTGGTCTAAGAATCAAACTGAGACAGATTAACAGGAGAAAGTAAAATTATTTAATTTTGTACGTAGAGGAACCCCACATACATGAGAGGTTTAAAGACAGAAAGAGACAATGAGGTATCTAACACCACCCTAAACTCAGGAATGGATGGCCCGGGGCTGCAGCGGGAGGGGGCGAGGCACGGGGCAGTATGAAGAGCAGTTGTTTGGTAATGAGATGTCTGCCCTCCATATGGATGGGTCACCGAGCTAGAATTTATTTCTGGTAATAAGCCCTTTTTAGGGAAAGCCCCAATTTACTTTTTCCTAAGTAGTTAGGGAGGGGTAGGACTTTCTCTTGAGCCCACGGGGTCTTGATTGCCCTCAGCTCAGAATAGTCCGCATGCTGATGAGTGTATCTTGGGGAGGCCTATTTATGCTCCTTCAGGCTCAAACTCTAAGGTATTAAATTGTTCTTCCAGAAGCTAGAACCTTATTTACAAATCACAGGATCTTGCACTGGTGCACACCGATGGTCGGCCCCCTGCACACCAGCCTAGGGGTCTCAGGGGGCTGGGGGTGGCCCCCCACCATGCTCCCCTGGGAGGGTAGAGAGCGTGTCCACGCCCAAGAGACTTAAGGTCCCCAGGTGGGGAAGTGGGACATGGAAGATCTCCTGGGGTGGCTCCCCAACCCACATCCAGCCCCCCGGGACAGCCAGGTCGGCCACTGTCGCCTGATGGCAGAAGGGGGTTTTCCCTCCAAAACATACCTGGCTCATGTTGTTCTGTTCTTATGTGGGATACCTTGATATTAAGTAATGAAGAACAACAGTCAGATAGCAAAGTCTTCTCTCAACATGGATATAGTGGGGAAAATTGGGGACCTCCGAAAGGCCCAAGATAGGAACCCAGACTGATCGCACAGGGCAGGGCCTCACCCCGCAGTTTCAGAGGAGGTCTGCTTCATAATGAAATTGGGTCTGTGAAGCAACACAAATGAGTTTGTGATGGGCTAAGTGAAAAAAACAAGTTACAAAAGAGTAAATTTGGCATAATTCCATCTTTGTTTAAAGACTGTCTGTGTGTGCATGCCTAGGAAAATTCTGGAAGGATACCCCAAACTTAGCAAGGTATTTCCAGTGAGATTTAGAGGAAAACAATGGGTTAAGTAGGAAAAATTTTTTTTTCCTATTTGTCTACTTCTGTGCTGTTTGAATGTTTTAGAGTACAAGTATTTTGCTGGCATCATTAAAAAAGTATGTTTTAAAGCTTGTCTGAAGTGAAGATGGCATGTTTTCCTAGAGCCCAGTATTATCTCGGGAGGTCCAGGTGGGTCCCTGAAGGTGTAGCAATGTGCCATCCCTGGTTTTGTGACTTACTGTCCCATAACTAATAAGACTGAAGGGTTTTATGAGTTTGGGTTGGTTTGGTTTCCTTTGGAGAGGTGTTTGTTTTTGCTCTGATGCGTCCTCACCACCAACAGCTTCTGGCCATGCCAGGACTAATCTCTTTTTCCCCTTAGGACCAGCTGTCCCTGTAAGCATAGTTTTCTGGATAACACCAAGAAGCTGATGCCTCCACGTGATGTCCCCACATATCCCAAGGTAAGGCAAAATCTGGGTCCACAGTCCCAGGGCACACAGTCCCCACCCTCAGCCACCCTGAATTCCTGGCTGGCCCCTGCTCTCTGCACATTTGCAAAAACAGCTCCCACCCTGGCCCTGAGCAGTGGAACTCCTGCTTTTCCAAGTCAGAATGCATTTTCTCTCTGACGTTTGTTCAGCAGAAGTGGTCCCAGATGGAACCTCACTTGCCGGGAGGGAATAGCTCTCGGTGTCCATCAGGCCCCTCGTTGCTGACTTGGTGAATGGTTTTTGCACTCAAATGCTATATTAAAGAACTTTAAGTTGGAACTAAATTATTTTAAATCTGCTTCATTGGATGTCCTGTCCCCAAACATAGTTATGAGAGGTTTTGCATTTTTTGTCCCAGGAGATTCTTGGTTAAAAGAGATCCCAGGCCCTTGTTAAAGCAGTGGTGCCTGGGAACTGAATGGGGAGTCATCGGACTACTATGGCAGAAGGGTCTTAGGATGTTGTTCTCCCAGCTCAGCAGTGCTGTAAGCTGTGGGGGTGGTGAAGCCCTGGCCCAGCTGAGTTTCTGCAGACTCCTGCCCAGAGATCTGAGCTGCTCAGGCCCCAGGGCTTGCAGACAGTGCACCTGGGCTGGGCACCAGGCAGGCACCCCCCCACCCACCATCCCGCCTGCCAGGGAACCTTCCAGAGCTGCCTCCTTCTGGGATTCTTTACTTGGGCCCAAATGTGAAGTATTGTTTTCAGGGACACCTAGTGCCTTTTCCTGCAGGAGAATGTGACCAAAATCTCTCATGACCTGGCCTGGAGTCATGGGGCCCAGCCTGAGTCCATAACAAAAGGTGTCAGTCCCCCATTGCAATTCCTTTAAAAAAAAAAACAGAAGACTACAGCTGACCCTTAAAGAATGCAGTGGTGAGGGGCACCGACCCCCGCATGGTCAGAAATGCAGAAACAACTTTCGGTTCCCCCAGAACTTAACTACTAATAGCCTCCTGTTGACCAGAAGCCTTACTGATGACATAAGCAGTCGATTAACACAGATTTTGCATGTTACATGATACATACTGTATTCTTACAACACAGTAAGCTAAAGAAAAGAATTTTTTTCAAATTCTCAAAAATCTCTAAACAATTTTCCACCGCATTTATTTATTGAACAAATCTGCGTATAAGTGGGCCTGCACGGCTCAAACCCAGGTTGGTTCGAGGGCCAACTGTATATCGAGTGTTTCAGGATTAGCTCTCAGGGACCGTCTGATGTCTAAAATCACAGAATCCTGTTTCTTCTGAGTTTTAACCTAAACTCTGGTATTCCATGGAGCTGGCACCCCGCTGCCAGCGCGCTGTCTCAGCCTGCAGCTGAACTAGTGACAGGTTTCCCAAAAAAGAGACTCAGAACAGCTCCTTAGCCATAATTTGAATTTAGGCCAAGTAGATTTTCTTCCCTTGACTTCACCTTATTGTCTTTCCTCAGAGGCAGGTTTGATGGGGGTGTCATGTTCTGTAGGTACAGGGCCCTGGGGGCTCATGAGCTTATACAGGAGGGAGGCGCCTCCACATGTCAAGATGGACAACGCTCCCATCACCCCAAACTCTGCCAGCACCAGAGGTGCCCCTTCCTGGAGCCTCCACCCCGCATCTGCTGATGGGCCTCTGTCCTAGGGTTCTGCCCCTGCCAGACTTCTTGCGGGATGTAACCTTTAAGTCTGGACACCAGTGTCCTTGAAGGGGGGCTAAAGGTGGAGGAAACATGCAGCCCCCGCTTGAGGTCAGGGCCTGTGTCAGCACAGGGCGTGGGGGCCCAGCTGATGCCTGCCTCCTGTCCCCCCCAGTACCTGCTCTCCCCAGAGACCGTGGAGGCCCTGCGGAAGCCCACCTTTGACGTCTGGCTTTGGGAGCCCAACGAGGTGAGTGAGGGGCCTCCCAGCCTGGCTTGCTCTCTCATCCCCTTCCGTTCTTAGTCCTCTCTTCCTTTTCTTGTTTTGAGCTTGATTCTCCAGGTTTTAGCTCAAACTGACTGTCGGCCAGCTCAGGAAGGGGGCTCCGGAGCAGAGAGCAGGTGGGAATGTGCAGGAGCCGCAAGGGTCCCAGGGACCTGAGGCCATGAGCCCCGGGAACATCCTCATGAGCACCACCAAGTCCCCCAGGGCCACGTGCCGGGCGCAGGAATGCTGTCCTGGCTGGCCAGAGCACGCGGGGCTGACGGCCACACTTCGGAGAAGTGTTCCCTCCAGACAGACCTCAGCCAGAGAGCTCTGCCGAGAGCCATGCCACAGCCAGACCAGAGGACTGCAGGACTCAGGGAGCAGAGGTGATGCCCTCAGCAGCTGTGGCATCTGCGGGAGAGGGCCTTGGTGCCCTGGGCATCTGTGCAGTGCCAGGGCCTGGGCACCAGCATCTCTAACTACTGCGTGCATGCCTTCATTCATGTGGGGCCCCACACGGAGGACACCTCAGCACCACCGGCTGGAGAGCCTGATCCTGTCCACCCAACCCGGGCCCCGCAAGAGGAGTCACCCGCCTCCTTCTGAGGGATCATCCTGCAGCAGCATTGAGCCGGGTGCCCAGTGTGTACCACCAGCCAGCGTGAGGACAGCAGTTAGTGGAGCAGGAGGCATGTTCAGTGTGCAGCCACCACCTGCCACATCAATGCATGACCAGAAGTGACGGAGTATGGGAGGCAGCCGGGCCAGGACCACAAGTTAGATCTTCAAAGGGAAGGGCTAGGACCTCGCGCCTCATAGGCTCCCACTGAACAGGGGGCCCAGGCTGGACCAAGGCCTGCCCACAGGCAGGTGGGCACAACGGCGTGCAGATGCCAGCCTCCAGCAGGTGGACAGGCACTGCCACTGGGGCACATCTGGAAGGGCCACACCCCTGAGGTGGCTCAGGCTCCGGCCCTCAGAGAATAAGGGCAAAGCCAGGCCCTGGTAGCCCAGCACAGATGTGGAAGTAGGCATTGCTGCCAGCTAGCTCACTGTCACTGTCTCCGTCTACCCCAGAACCCCTCCAAGCACAGCACCACTTGTAGCCAGAGAGATTGCAGCCTCCAGGCTGAGAGGCAGGATTCACGCATGCGTGATGGGAAGGCCGCCTGTCTGTCCTCCCCACACGCCCACCCGCAGCATATCAACCGCACAGGGAGCCTGACATGAGGTTCCAGTGTTCCCATAAAGTGTCGAACTGCCTGCGGTGACAATCCAGAGATGCCACCATACAGGTGCCCTGCTGCTGGCGAATCTGAGGATGCCGTGAGTTTTGGACCATGGGCAGCAGAGAGGATGACTAAAGGGATATTGGAAAACTTCAACAGCCCACCGCCCTCCAAACCACATCTGGCCACCCACAGCCGCGCCCCCTGAGAACAGGATCAGGGCCCCGTGGTGGCGTTCACCCTTCTCCCCCAGAGTGGAGGCATTGCTGGGCCCAGCCCGGCGTCCTCTGGGTCACACACCAGATGAGGAAATGACCTCACAGTGCGCTTGTGCCCCCTCACTGCCATGTCAGCTCTCCCAGGGCTGCAGCAAGCCCACGTGGCAGCGCAAGCACTGGCCTGAGGCTGTGGGACTCCTGGCCCCCCATGAGTCCTCCATGCCTGCCCCCCATGCCCAGCCCAGCCTGCCACGGCGTCCTGGGCTGCCAGTGCAGAAACAGACGCACAGAGGAGTTGCTTTTGCTCCAGAGCCGCCACGTAAGTGGCACCAGATGGTTTTGTCTGCCGATCATCTCCAAGTCTTGCATCTGATTTCACAGCAAACATCTCAGCTCCCCAGGATTGCCAGAGCGGCGTACAGACTGGTGGGGCGGGGACAGGGGGAGTCTGCCCGGTGCACATCGGTTCCGTCCCCTCGAAGAAGAGAGTGTGCAGTTAGCTGCAGGCTCATCCCACCTGGGACATCCCAGCCCCCACGTGGGGCCTATGGGACTCCGGTTTGTGCAATGCCACAGTGGTCTCTGCTCCCACAGGGGTTCCTTCCAAAGCCCCCATGGATGCCGCAGTGCTTCCCATTCTCACAGACTGTGTAACAGGGAAAGCTGGATATGTGGTAGCGCGCCCTGCATAGTTCCCTGGGGCTGCCGTGACGGGCCGCAGACACGCCGCTTAAACAGCAGTGACTTACTGTCTCACATCTTGGAGCCTGCGAGTCTGGGGTCCACATGCGGGCAGGGGTGGCTCCTGAGACCTCTCTCCTGGGCGTGTAAAGGGCCCTCTGCTCTCCGTGTCCTCACGTGGTCATCCCTCTGCGCGTATCTGTGTCCCAGTCTCCTCTTCTTCTGAGGACACCAGTCCTAGTGGCCCAGGACCCACCTCCAGGACCTCATGTGACCTTCCGTACATGTGACCTCTTTAAAAACCCTCTTTCCAAACAGTCACACAGTGGGGTTAGGACCTCAGCACACTGATTCAGGGAGATGGTGCAGTCCCTAACACACCCTTTGGGGAAGAGCTCAAACAGTAAACAGGCCACCAGGCAGCTGTCCCTGGCACCAGCAGGGGCTGCCTGCCTCCACAGCAGGAGGCTGCTGGTGAGGCAGGAGGCAGGGCCCAGGTGTGCGGCCCTGGGCAGGGGAGCCCTGCGCCCCCGGGATGGAAGTTGTCCCTGTTCTGCTCATCCCCCTTCTCCCTGGGCTCTCCATCCAAGACCTGCCTCCCCAGAAAGCAAAGCCCACTTTGTCAAACTCTCACTTTTTTTTTTTTTGAGAGGGCATCTCTCATATTTATTGATCAAATGGTTGTTAACAACAATAAAATTCTGTATAGGGGACTCAATGCACAATCATTAATCCACCCCAAACCTAATTCTCAACAGTCTCCAATCTTCTGAAGCATAACGAACAAGTTCTTACATGGTGAACAAGTTCTTACATGGTGAACAGTACAAGGGCAGTCATCACAGAAACTTTCAGTTTGATCATGCATTATGAACTATAGACAATCAGGTCAAATATGAATATTCGTTCGATTTTTATACTTGATTTATATGTGAATCCCACATTTCTCCCTTATAATTATTATTTTTTTTAATAAAATGCTGAAGTGGTAGGTAGATGCAAGATAAAGGTAGAAAACATAGTTTAGTGCTGTAAGAGAGCAAATGTAGATGATCAGGTGTGTGCCTGTAGACTAAGTGTTAATCCAAGCTAGACAAGGACAATAAAACATCCACGGATGCAGGAGATTTCTCTCAAAACAGGGTGGGTGAGGTTATAAGCCTCACCTCTGTTGATCCCCAATTTCTCACCTGATGGCTCCCCTGCGACTGTGCCTGTCTTAGGTTGTTCCTCCCTTGTCAAACTCTCACTTTTTAAAAATCATTTAATCTTTCTTCTTTAGCTTAATTAGCTCCAAAGCTCTGAGCTATATTTAAACAGTGACAATAAATCCTCTTTGGGACCAAAAACAAATCTGTTTCAGCTCGAACAGGGTTTCCACCGAAGACAGCTCCGTGGGATATGACTAGGGGGAGAAGCTCGCACCGGGAGGCTTACCTCCCAGGCGCTGCAAGTGACACAGTCAAAAGCCTGCCTAGTGCCCATGAGCCAGACGGGCATAGCAAAGAGTGTTTGGGAGTCAAGTCATTAAAGCCTCTTCATACCCGGCTCAAGCAGGGAGAGCCCCTGCTTAGATGGAGCTGCGTCCCAGGGGCTCAGTGCGTGCTGACCGCCTGAGGTTGTGTCTCCGGTGTGGAAATCAGTAAAATCGTCCCTGATGTGGTCCTTGGGAGGAGAGTGTCCCCTCCAATCACTGTCCCTCTTGCATAGAATTCTGTTGACTTCCAAACCCCGGCTGCTTTTTCAAACCCCTGCTTCCCCTCCATAGGGTCCTGAAGCCCCCAGTTAACAGCTTCGCTCTAGGGGGCTCCCAGAAGGGAGGGCTCCCCTTCTGGGGGCAGGCCTGCAGAAGCTGCCCGGCTGCCCTGTGGCACCTCCATGACTGTGGAGGGCGGTGGAACCCAGGGCCGGCGGCCGCCCACACTGACACCCTGTGCTCATGTGCCCGCAGATGCTGAGCTGCTTGGAGCACATGTACCATGACCTTGGCCTGGTCAGGGACTTCAGCATCAACCCCGTCACGCTCAAGAGGTGGCTGGTAGGTGGCAGGCCCCCTCCTGTCCCTCCTGGACAGGGTCCTTGGTTACAGGGGAACGGATGGTCTGGTGCCTTCCCAGTGGCACTGGGCTGCCTACCAAGGGAGGCAAGAGGTGAGAGTTCTGTGGGGACATCCAGCCAGTCTGTGTGTCCCCAGAGCACTCCTTACTGCTAAGCAACTGCTCCGGTGAGTGAGAAAATTATTAAAAACCTAGGGAAGCAGTAGCTCCTAAAGCAGCAGTGTGCATGTGTGTGTGCACACCTGTGAGTGTACAGGTATGCACACCAGTGAGTGTACAGGGGTGTGCACCTGTGAGTGTGCAGGTGTGGGCATGTTTGTGGGGGGTGTGGCTGCATGTGAGTGTGTGTGAGTGTGAGCAAGTATGTCGAGGGGGGTGTGTGTGAAAATGTGTGTGTGTGTTTAGCAGATCTTTTCTTAAATAAAGTACTGCTCAGAACCAACTACTAAAAGCTTAAATATTAAAAGGTGTGATGGTGACTAGGGGGCGCCCAGAGCCCCTCCCCAGCTCCACATCCCCATGAGGCTCCTCAGCCCCTCTCTGGGGACCCCTCAGTCCACAAGCCCTGGGTGAAAGCCTGGCCCCACACCTTTCCTTGGGGCCGGAGGGGCGCCCGTTGGAACCTCTCAGGCCCCTGGGCCACCTGGTTCTCCCCTTCAGCAAACACAGGAATGCAGCTGGCAGTGCAGGCACACAGGTGCACCAGGTGGTGGGGCAAGGCCGGGACCCTCTGCCGCCGGCAGCAGGGCAAGGTGGGACCCTCTGTCTCTCTTGCAGCTCTGTGTGCATGACAACTACAGGAACAACCCTTTCCACAACTTCCGACACTGCTTCTGTGTGACCCAGATGATGTACAGCATGATCGGGCTCTGCGGGCTCCAGGTGGGATGCGGGGGTGCCCAGGACACGGCCCTACACACAGTGGGGAAGCCTCAGGTCTCCTCAGCAGCCCCTCCCTCCCCATGGGCAAGGCTGCTCCCAGGTTCTGTGAGCAGGTGCACACCGACCCTCCTCAGCCTGCCGGGAGATGGGCAGGTGCCCCCCACCAGCCCAGCACTGGAAGGGGCTTCCTCCTCCCCATATCCCTTCCCACCACAGCCCAGCCCCTTGCCATCCCATCCCACCCTCTCTCTAATCCAGGAGAAATTTTCCCAAATGGATATCTTGACCCTGATGACAGCGGCCATCTGCCATGATTTGGATCACCCAGGATACAACAACACGTATGTGAGGTTTCCTCTCTCTTTTCCTTTTAAAGGACACCCTGGGTATCAGAGGAGAGCTTCTTAGCTCAGTGCTTGGACCCGCTCCAAGTTGGGGCTGTGAGTCTGGGGCTGTGTCCAGGCCTTGGGCCTCCCTGGGCAGGACCCTTAAGTTTACCAAACCCCAAGGGCTGCCATACCCCTTCTCAGTCCTGGACCCAGGCTCCACGTCTGCACAGGCAGAGCCCTGGCAGTACCAAGCTCTCCCCACCCCAGCACCCTGAAGCAGGGAGTGAGGCCTGCATGGGACAGGCTGGCGGGCAGCTAGGGCTGAGCGAGGGGACGGGCAGGAGAGGGGGCCACAGGGGCCAGGACGGACAGGCTTTCTGGAGCACTGGCCCACTCCCGCCTCTGGGGGCCAAGGGCACAGAGCTCCACCCCATGTAACTGCCAAGCCAGCCGTGAGGCACAGGTGTGTGTCCTAGTGACACAGCCGTTCCTTCCGTCAAATTTGCATGTGCAATGACATCAGACGTGCCTAGAGCCTTACTGTCACTTGTCAGGACCAGAGAAGATTCTGGGGTGTGGAAGTCTGTGCTCTGCAAAGGAGGCTCTCACCATGGCCACCGGTCCCTCATTGCACCCTCACAAGTGATGTGCAAAGCACAAGCTGGCAAAGGCCTGGAACAGAGCACCTGATGGGAAAACACATCTAATTCTTCTCCCAAATGTCTGCCTTTGCACGTACTAAAAGGTTTTGCAAGGTGCCGTGACAGAAGACCTGACCCCCATAGGGCTAGTAAGAGGGAAAAGCTGAGGCTCAGGGGCGGTGCCTTCCCGCGGGACTGCAGAGACTTGGGGGATCTAGTTCCAGGGGCCACACAGAGCCAGGAGGGCCAGGGGCAAGTGCTGAAGCAGGCCAGGCGCATCCGGGCCTTCCTCCTGCCTCTGTGGCCGCCACCTACACACCTCGGTGCTGTGAGGTGCTTCCGAGTGTGTGGGCGCCTGAGGCCCCCTTTGCCCTCTCCCTGATTCCAGGTACCAGATCAATGCCCGCACAGAGCTGGCCGTCCGCTACAATGACATCTCGCCCCTGGAGAACCACCACTGTGCCGTGGCCTTCCAGATCCTCGCCCAGCCTGAGTGCAACATCTTCTCCAATGTGCAGCCAGACGGGTTCAAGCAGATCAGACAGGTGTGCAGGGGCCCTCCGACTGCAGAGTGGGGGGACTTCTGGGGACACAGTGACCACCACCACAGAGTAGAAACCCCCTCTCCAGTGGCTCCCAGAAGCTCCCCATCACAACAGTGCCCGCCAGGGGCCCTGGGAAACTGGCCCTCCTGCCCTGTCTCCTGCATGGCCCAGTGGCTCCCAAGAAGTGTGTCCTTGGCATGCATATGTGGGAGTCCATTGACCTGCACCTCGTACTCCCCATTTAACTTAACCCTCTGAGACACGTCCTCTTCCTTGGCAGCCCAGGGAGGGCAGCTCGTGGAGGTCAGGTAACTCACCAAAGAGCTGGGGAGTACAGCCAGGCCCCGGACGACAGCCTGCACCAACCTAGCAGGCCCTGGCAGCTGTCCCCTGCCACCCCGGGACCAGGCAGGCCTGCCACCCCTTTCAGATGAGAGACCCTTGGGAGGAGGGCAAGAGTAGCTGCCTGTCCTCGAGAACTTACAACTCCCTGGAAAAAGTACCCGCACCACCCTGCACTCCGCCTGGCATTCTCAGCAGGGGGACGATATCAGTGTGATCTCCTGGGGGGTAGTGGGTTGAGTGGTAGCACCTCCCTCCCCACCAAAAGAAGGCATGTGTACCCCCTGACCCCCAGAACTGTGAATGTGGCCTTATTTGGATGGAGTCTTTGCAGCTGTGATTAGTAGTTACGATGTCCAGTTAAGATGAGCTTGGATTATCCAGCTGGGCCCTAAACCCAACGACAGTCGTCCTCGTGAGACCCACAGAGGCAAGAGGAGATTCATGGAGGAAGGCCACGTGAACACGGAGGCAGAGTTGGGAGTGACGTGGTCACAGGCCAAGGACTGCCTGGGCCGTGGAAGCTGGAAGAGACCAGGAGCATATACCCACCTGGAGCCTTCCGGGGGGCACAGCCCTGCCCACACCTGGATTTCAGACTTCCGACTCCAGACCGTGAGAGAGTCCCTTTCTGTTCTGAGTCACGCAGAACGTGGTACTTTGTACGGCAGCCGCAGGGTGCCGTGCTCAGAGCCGTCTTCATGGGGAGCCCCATGAGCTGCCCCACCTCATTTCCATGTGGGTGGCCTTGCTTCAAGACGCACCCGATGAAGACTGGAATCAGTGCTGGGAAAACTCTCAGCTCCCTCCTGGAGAACTGATGTGCTTCCCTTTATCACGGCAGCAGCCTCATAAACCCTTGTTTCCCCATTTACTCACACTTCCAGGAAGTTCAGAGCTAAATGCGGTGCCTAATTACAGTCACCACTGAATCACCAGTTCCCGGGACAATTACCTCACCTTCATCCATGGCCTTTCTGGCCTCTGTACCGTGTTTACGGAACCACCCAGCACACGGGCGCTCCGTGGTGCAGTGGTCACACAGCAAATCATCCTCTGCAGTAGGCGAAGGGCCAAGCCTTGAAGAGGGGGCCAGCCTTCCCACTGCTCGGGGATCAGAGCAGCGCCCCAGGGGGAGGGAGGGCACCCAGCTGCAGAGCAGCGCCCCATGGACTGGACCTTCACACCGCCTGCCACAGGGACTCACCAGCATCGTCCTGCCTCAGACACTCTACTTACATTAAAATGAGGCTATTTATGTGGGCAAAATCACTTGTCCCAATTTTTAATGATATTTTGTCCTTGAGTATTTTGAGGGATAACTCCTCATGGGAATAGATCCTTCACTAATAACACAATTAGATTTTTACAGAGAAATTGCATTATTCAAATGCCAGTGATATTTCCCCTCCCGAGATATATTTGAGAAGATCTGTGCTGACCCATTTGAGCTTGTACTTGATGCTTCTGGGTTGTTTTTTTTGGAAAAGTACAATATCCTACCCAACACGGATGTGTGTTCTGTAAACGTGGGATGCATGGATGCACGGACAGATGATGGATGGATGGTCGGATGAGTGCACAGGCGGATGGATGGGTAGATGGATGGATTGATAAGTGGGTAAGTGGATGCATGAATGGATGGTGGATGCTCATGATTTCAAATTATACTACTTCTCCTAAGGCAATATTTGGTTAACAAGGTAAAAAAATATTTATATTTTAAAAATCATTGCATTCTCATTGCAGATTGTTAATGGAAGAATGCTGTTAAATATAATCTGACTTTGATCGTTCGCAAGCAATGTACACACAATCACATACAGATTAGACAATAGAAAAAAATATTCCTGAAAAACCAGTTACTGACCTCCAAGAAGATCTAGAAGGAACAAACCATGTATCTAGGTTACTAGATCGAGGGGAGGCATGTGTCCTTGGCTGAAACCTGCTACACGTCACGAGGAAGCACAATGTTAGGCTTGCCATGTGCAAGTGGGCTGTCCTGGCAGGCCCAGATGGGTCTGCACTCTGCAAGGACACAGCATGTGGGGGTCACTAACACCCACTGGGGCTTGAAGTCCAGGTTAAGTCTCAGTCTGTTTATCTTAAGACTTAGGACAGTGACTTAGCCACACACATAGCATTGGCATGAGGACCGAGTGCTGTGTACCAAGGGCTTGGTACACACGGTGCTCACTGAGTGATTGTTGGCGTTGTGCAGGTGTTAACCCTTTGCTCTTTCACTATTCAGGGGATAATCACGTTGATCTTGGCCACTGACATGGCACGGCACGCAGAAATTATGGATTCTTTCAAAGAAACAATGAAGAATTTTGACTACAGCAACGAGGAGCACATGACCCTTGTAAGTAGCTGTGAGCGTCTCTGGGACGGCTGCCAAAGGAGCCCCCCTCAGCTCAGACTGGAAACCAAGAAACCAGTCGTTAACCTTGCCTTGGAGTGAGTGTCAAAGCTGGTTTCAAAGTCACACTTCTTACCAGGGATGCCCCCTGGCACGGCCCCCATCCTGGTTAGAGGCTGCGTTTTCCAATTCTGGTTTCAAAGTGCTAAGCAGTGAGGCAGGCCATCTCGCTCTGGTTTCCTGAGAATAAGGTGGGCTCTCCCCGAAGACAAGGCCCCAGAAAACACACCGAGTCCCAGGCTTTGTGGGGCAGCTCAGGGATCTGGCAGGACCCCCACGCCTTAGGATGCAGCACCCCACCTGGCCCCCACTTCTGGGCACCCCCATAGCCAGGGAGACCAGAGAAGGGGAGGGAGCACCCCCAATGGGAGGGTGCACCCGGGCCTGCCCTTGGAGAAAAGAAGGCATGAAAATCCCTCCCATCTGCAGAGACAGGGTTGTGAGCCTTGTCTCAGCCTTCAGTCTCCTCTGGCATCCTGGCACTTTTAAAGCCAGTGCCATGCTATCACTTTCCATCACTCGAAGGTCATGAACAAGGACAGATCAGGCTGACCTCCTGACCATCCAGTCCCTGGTAGGCCAAGCCCTCCGTGGGCCATCCACCCTGCAAAACTGAATTGTAGATAATACACAAAGTCTACGAGCGAGGGCCTCACATTATCAATGACTGAACACAGGAGAATGTGTCCCCAGAGGCAGGGCCTCCCGAAGCACCCCTCCCAGAGGTGGAAGAGGGGTGCAGTCCTGGGGCGCAACGCCTAGCTCCAGATGCCCACGGAGTGTGGGCGCTGCTGCCCCCAGATGTCAGGAAGGGTGAAGGCGAGGATGCCCCTGGGGGTGGGGAGGGAAGCATGCCCAGGCCCTTCGGATACCCGTTTCCCACCTGAAATGTAAGGGAAGGCCAGCCGAAGAGACGGGAGGTGGGCGGGAGGCCAGACTGTCTCCTGCCCAGTGTCCAGTGGTCACTTGGGACAGGAAGTGCGCCTCTGCTCCCTCCCTGCAGCTGTGCGAGTGAAGGGGCAAAAGAGGCCGGGTGCCCAGTGTTCCCCAGTGTTCCATACACCCCGGGACCAGGCAAGGGTCAGGGGCACGCACACAGACAGGGCCTGAACAAAAGCTCCTGCCTCCTTATGGACTTGGGGTTTGAGGGTGGAGGACAGGAATGGCAAGGTTCTGGGCCAAAGTGGAGAACAGGGCTGCAGCCAAGACCCCATAGGAGGCCTGAGGCCTCTGTGCAGCCCCCTGGACAGCAGGGCCCGCAGCCAGCTTCCCCAAAGGCCTGTGGGCAGAACCCTGCAATCACCTGCAGTCTGGAGGCTGACTGCTTGCAGGGAGACAAGAAAGGCCGGGCTCAGTTCCCAGGCACAATAAGGAGGATCCTGTGCAAGGGACAAAGGGCAGCCACATCACCTCAGGGTTCACCTGAGGTTAAGCCGATGAGCTTTGCAGGTCACCTTCCCCAGCCCTCCCTCCAGGGAGAGCTGGGGGCAGGCAGCCTGCACAGACCCGGCCCACAGCCAGAGTTCACGTGCCGGTGCACCTGCGCCCAGTCAGCCATGGACCCCGATGGGCAGAATGGCCCTTCCCCATGACGGTCATTTGTCCCCGGAGCCAAGCAAGGCCATGTGGTGCCAGGCCTCTGCAGCCGCCCCTGAAGGCACCCACCTGACTGGTTCAGGTGGAAATGCTCTGGCTGAGCCCTTGGGCCTGACACATGTCCTTCAGAGGGGCCCACATGTGCTCAACCTCACCAGGCTCGGAGGGGGGGAGTCTTCTGGGAGGGTGAGACATGCCCCACCTGGGGAACAGCACCGAAGAGATAAGGCCCCCCCAGGCAGGGTGGTGGGGGACACCATCAGAGGCAGGGGGCAGCTGGGAGGGCTTCAAGGAGGGGCCAGAGCAGGACCTGAAGGGCATACACTCTGCTGTCAGTGGCAGGGACAGCGAGGCCACGTGGTGGCTCAGGGGTCCCAGCACCGTCCACCTCCAGGGGTCCCTTTTTTCCCTTTAATCTCTGCCTCCCAGTGACGCCTTCTGTGTGTGTGTGTGTGTGCACGCGCGCACGTGTGGGCACACCAGCGGCACCCTCGGAGGGAGGCAGCAGCCCGCTTGGCCAGCACCACCGCCCGGACCCCTCCCGTGACGCCAGCCCAGGCCCACACGCGGGGTGGCAGCGGGATACGCTGTGTCCTGTGTCCATGCCTCATGCCAGACCTCTTTTTCAGCTGAAGATGATTTTGATAAAATGCTGTGATATCTCTAATGAGGTCCGCCCAATGGAAATTGCAGAGCCCTGGGTAGACTGTTTATTAGAAGAATATTTTATGCAGGTAAGAGCGTTGCGGAGCAGCCAGACCTGTCACTCTCCTCAGCCCCTTTGACAGGCTCCATTTGAAACAAGGTGGGCGCACGAGGGTGGACAGTTTCTGCAGGCCCCAGAAAGCCGTCCCTGCAAGCGGATGTCAGAAATGGAATGGGTTATGATTTGAGACACAAGGGGCAGTGACAGCCTGGAGAAGCTAATGTAAAACTGCCCTCTGTGACCGCTCACTGAGCAGCTGGTAGGGACAGACGCGTAGGGCAGATGGCCCGGAAGCCAGGAAGCTAGAGCTGCAGAGGCAGGAGGGAGCCCCAGGGTGGCAGAGAGCAGGCAGGTCAGCCTGCCGTGGCAGTGGGGAAGCCCCCAGGCAGAGCCACGCAGCCTGACCAGAGTGCTGGGAGGACAGTCAGCCGCTCCCTACGGCCTCCCAGTGGGCCCAGGACCACGGCAGATCCGTGGCCTCTCCTGCCTCCCAGCAGCCCTGAGTGCACTTCGCTGGCCCCCGCTGTGCCCTGCCCTCGGTCCCCTGAGCGCTCCAGCCGGCCCCCGAGGTGCAGCTGCCCGTCCACCCCTGTCACCGCTAGTACACCTCAGGTGGGCTGGTGATACATCAGCCTGTTTTTCTCCAAGAGCAGTGACCCTCAGAGTTCTCCAGAGTCCGTGGTGTGCCTCCCTTTAATGTTGCCATCTCCTGCGTCCCCACAGAGCGACCGCGAGAAAGCCGAAGGCCTTCCTGTGGCCCCTTTCATGGACCGGGACAAAGTGACCAAAGCCACAGCCCAGATCGGGTTCATCAAGTTCGTCCTGATCCCGATGTTTGAAACAGTGACCGAGGTGAGCAGCCACCACCATGTACCAGATGACGCATGACAGATCACACTCGTGTGCATGCTCACATGCTTACACACAGGCACTCACACACGCCTGTGTGCTGTGGCTGCCTGCTCAGCTCCTGCCTAATGGCGGTTCCCCCTCCAGCATGTCCAGATCATCACCTGGTTTCCCCACCCTGTCCTTCCCACCCTGCTCGCTCCCAGAGAGACCCTCTCCACAGTGCCCCTGCTCCCTCCAGGCACCAGGTGGGAGTCCCTGCCAGCCCTTCTCATCTTCACCCTCAGAAGAACCTCCTAACCTGCCCATACTCCATCCAGCACACAGCTGTCACCAGCTTGCTGTTCAGCAAACTCTCTCTCTCTGTCTCCTGAACCTTCTATGGCTCCCCATGCCCCTAGCACAGGGCACTCAGCCCCACCCTCCCTGGCACTCCTGTGTTGCAGGACAGTCCACAGCTCCTGGCCCTCACCTTTCTTCAAACCTCCACCTCTGAGCCCGTTGCTTCATCTAGGGCTCCCTAGCTCGGCCCCACATCACCCACCAACCTACAGATCTACCTCAGAGCCCCCTTCCTCATACCCCATAGACCCCTACTTCTCTGGGAACTTGCCCTCCTATTTGTAGCATCCCTTCCCCAAACCTCAGAGCTGTCCTGTGCAGCAAGTGCTAGTGGCTGTGCAATCCTACAAGGAGGCCCTGGCCCCTGACACCTCCTGCAGGAACCGGGCTATGCTGGGGATCAGGGCAGAAGGGGCTGGCCTCAGGGGCTACAGAGGGTCCAAGTGGAGGTAGCCCCCTGAGCTGAGACCCAGACAAAGGAACAGTCACCAGGGGACATGTGGGGTGTGAGTGGCGGGCAGGAGCACAGAGCCGTGGCACCAGGGCAGAGGTATGAGTGGCAGCGGAGGCCCTAGGCCACATGGTGGGAATGGCCTCATTCCTCTGGCCTGTAGGCCCTCAGCGCTAGTGGGCAAGGTTGGCGTTTGGAAGGTGGGAAACTGCGGCACTGATAGCAGGACACAGGAGGGAGGGCAACGAGTGGTTTTTGCCAGGTCTGTGTGATATGTGAAAGCAGGAAACAGAGGGGACCCTGGAAACGGTGGATGGTGGGTGGTGACCTGTCTGGGGGCTTCACACGGCCTGAGAACCTCGGTCTGGATGCCGCTGCCTGCATGGCGTGGACCCTCTTGTGTGACCCCCTGAAATGCAGAGGGCCTGACACCCGTTTTTCTCAAATGTGTTCCATCGCTGTGCAGATGATGGACTGAGCGAACCATTGTCTCTCCGCAGCTTTTCCCGGCGGTGGAGGAATTTGTGCTGCAGCCCCTCTGGGAATCCAGAGATCATTATGCAGAGCTGAAGCAAATGGATGACGACGTGAGGGAGGTAAAATGCACCATTTAGAAACGTGGTCTTCCTTGTGGCATGCAGGTCACAGGCACGTCACACTCCACTCACCTGGCTTGGGAGCAGGCCCCTCCAATAGGAGCTCACGGCCACCCCACCAGAAAGCTGACCAGTGGAATGAGGGGGCCTGTACCCTCAGCAAACCCGGCTGCACAGGCCGAGGACACCCAGCCCTCTGCTCCTTTGAGGGAGGCACATGACACAAGGCTGCGCCCCCCCAAAAGGCAGCCAAGTGTGTCAGCAGCTCACGCACCGCAGATCCCTCAGAGCAGTGCCTGGCCCCTGGTGGGGCCCTGTCCTGTCCTCCCGTCCCCAGAGCTGGCCTCGTTCAGCGAGGGGTGCGGCACTGGGAAAGCCACCACCCGTGGCCTGGTGCTGGGCCACGGCGCTCTCAGCGTGGCAACCTGGCCCCTCCCAGGGGTCAGGGAGACAGTCTGGCTTTGCGTCACTGCTGGGATTGGTACTGTTTGGGGAAGGTCCAGGTCCCCAGCTCAGAGCCAGTTCAGAGGGTTTCTGCAAAGCCCCTGCGCTAGTCTGGCCAAGTCCCAACCCCAGTGTGTACAGACCTCTGCTTCAGGGCCCCCTGCCTCTTGGGACCCCATGGACATCCCCACCTGACCTCCAGCCATCCAGGCCTCCCCCTTGGGCCACCCTCCCAGCCCCCTACCCAGGGGACCCAGTAGAGGTAGAACAGTGTCTCCGCCTCATGATTTGTCCCCATCCGGCCGTGGCCAGCATCACTCCCCCAACCCTTACTGCACACTCTCTTCAGGCAGCGTGCCCCCAGTTACTGTGCCCACACACCCCTTCCTCGCCATCAGGAATGCCCCCAGGCCCCGACTGAGAGCTGAGTTGCAGCTCTCTCTCCCTCAAACTGCTTTGTGATACACAATACTGGGCGTACTGTCAGTGCTCAATAAATGCTTACCAGTCCACTGGCAATTCAGACTGGCAACCGGTTTCTCTAGGTGAAGTCTTCTACCAGGTCACAGAGAGGTCCTGAGACTCCGAACACCTAAGAGCAAGTGATTCAGAGAATAGATGCCAGAGCAGGTCTCCCCCTGGCTGGTCCCCGGGGCATCCATGAGCATCTCCATGAAGGCCTCGAGTCTCCAAAGCCCAGGCCTGGCTGCCCAGTGAGGGCCCCTGGGACCCTCCAAGGTGCCTTCCCACCCCCAGAAAGAACAGACCCCAGAAAAGGCAGAAGGGCCTTGGGTCCTGCACTTCCTGCCGCCAGGCCCCTGGGGCTGAATGCTGTATCCAATGGTGAGCTCCTTGTCCAAGCACCAGACAGTGGCCATGAGCGGCGAGGCTCCAACAGCAGGGCGGGTGGCTCCTGCACACAGCTGAGTGTGAACAGCTCACGCCGTGTGTGCTCTGGCACACCAAGGTTGTAGACGTCCGTCCCTGTTACATGGTTCAGGCATCTTGTGCCGATGGGAGGCTCTTTGGCAGACATGCAGACACGTGCTCGCTGCCTCCTGGAGCCTGATCTGTGCCTTCTGTGTCCTCTGTCCTGGTTACAGAGGACTGAGAGCCTGACATCTGGAGGCGCCGACAGGTCAAGAGAGAAAAGCAGGGATGTGAAAAACAGCGAAGATAATGTTGTCTGAGTCGGCGTCTCAGTGGGTATGATAATTCAGACTCAAGCGGGGATTGTGCTGAAAATCTGTGGGAAGAGGGAGAAGAGGGGGCAGAGAAAGTCTTAATATTTTTAAGGATGTGAAACTTGCGTTTCTTGCATATAATTACTACAATTAGGCTCTGAAAGGGAGACATGCATTAGCTAATAGAAAAGGTCGATAATTAGCCATTGGCACCTCTTATAAGGGAAAACACTCTTAAAAAGCTTTTCAAAAATAAAAAGCATTTGCTTTTGTAAGCGTGCTCCCATGCACCTGTTACTACCGCCGTTCGTTCAGCCCGTGCAAAAGGCAAACCAGCCCATCTGGCCTCGGCGTGGTAAGGTCACAGCACTCGGGTGTCTAAAGGATCACCCGAGATTCCCAGGTGTAGAGCGCTCAGGCTCAGGGTAAGAGAACTGGATTTGGTTTTGCAAGAGAAGCAATGGCAGGCCCCAGCCCTCAACACACTGTGCTCTGCCAATTACAAGCTGAGGGGTGGGCACGAGTGTCTCACGTGTCTGAGCCTCAGTGCCCAGGCTCCAGCTGGACGGAGCGACAGCATTTCAGCCGGTGTGTTAGCAGTGAAACGGGCAGGACGCTGGCATGTCCCAAGTGCTTAGTAATCGGTGGCTTTTCCTTTTCCAGTCAGATCATATCTTTTAACAGCTAGGCAGAGGGGTCAAAATTGTTCGATTTTGCCTAAACATGGTCAAGAGTATGTCGAATGCCTTTGTTTTTTAGGCGTTGTCTGTGTGTGATCCTGTGACATGTGTGTGATGTCTCCTGAGCATTTTTCATCTCAACAGAAACGAGCCCAGTAGTCCTTCTCCTCCTCCCAGCAGACTGAGCCTGCAGACAGCAGCAGACGGGCTGCGGCCTGGACCAGGCGGCTGAGCTCCGTGGGACTCCGCAACTCAGAGGCGAGGGCGTTCTCAGCAGCTGCACCGCAAGACCACACTTTCTAAGAACTGTTTTGTTCACAGATATTAAA